AATGAACTTGGCATGTGACCCTTGGTCCGATCCATAATGCTACTTTACGGTGTATGTTTGGTGTGTGTGTGTTTTTCTGTGTTTGTGTACAGTTAGAGGCCTTGCGACTTGCTGATCACCCGCCCAAGGAGTCCCACTGAATGCCTAAGATCTAGTAAACCGAAGTGAAACGGAGAGTTTCATGGAGGAAGGCCAAGGCCCAAATTGGGGCTATAGAGTCAAAGGAAAAAAGTTGTTGAATGTGGAACTTGGAAATCTTAGTCATTATAGCGACAGGCTACGGGCTGGACGGCCCTGGTTCGAAACTCGGCAGTGTAAAATTTTTTTCTTCGGGGGCCCACACAGCCTCCAACGGGTACTGGGGACTCTCTCCCTGGGGAGGAGGTAGCAACATGGGTGTGAAGCTGACCACTCACCTCCAACTAGTACCAAGGTCAAGAAAGATGGAACTATACCTCCACTCCCCCATACGTCTTCTTCATGGTATAGTGCTTAACTAATTAAGCACAAGAAAAACTTTACTTCTTGACATTTATGAGTTGCTGAATTACGTATATCACTTGCTGTGAGCTACTTGATTAGCTCAGCGACCCCCTCTTTTCTAAACTGATTGAATTTCTGACTGTAATACTCGTATGTGATACAGCTACATTCGAAACTCAGCAAACTATACGTTACATTAGTGACTTCTGGATTTGTAGCAGATTTTGAATAAGAATGAATACACACGCAGTACTGAAAAGCTGCTAAATGTAAAACATTCTGTATTCCATTTAACCCCCCCCCCCAGCATGCTAGTATAATGACAAGGTTCTGGACTTGTATTCGGGAGTTATCCTATTCGAATCTCGGCCATGGAACCAGCTATCCTCATTAATTTTCCCTGATATTCCTCAGTTCCTCCAGGCGAATGTCTTGTTATTGTTCTCAAGTAAAGGCGCGTCCACATTACTCGTGCTCGTGCTCGTGTGACTCGCTATGCTCGCGAGTAATGTGGACGATATGACAAGTCACGAGACAAGCAAATTTTAAAATTTTAATTTAAAAACGATAGCCACTAAATTAAAATACGACTACAGCTTATACACACTACGAGTAAATATACGGATCCTCACGTGCCGAAGCCCGGCGAGCAACTGAAGTAGTGTGGATGAAAATTTACGGGCACAAGTAAAAGCCAGACGAGTCTCCCTACGAGCACGATCACGAGCACGAGTAATGTGGACGCGCCTTAAGACGCTACAGTTTGCAGTTTGCAATCCGCCTTTCATATTCTTTCTCTTGTCTTATTGGAAATTATATAAACTCTTTAGTTGATATGGTGTTGTTAAATAATAGCCGTATTTGTCATTGAATTCCGATATTCAGAATGTTAAGAAGTCTTTCGCTGTATAGCAATATGAGAAGTAGATAAATGAATGCTGAACTTGCGTGTAGGGCAACAGATATTGCTCCTGTATGCTGACGTCTGCAGTGGCTTGAAGAGAGATGTCTGCCTTGTCAGGTCCGTCGTCGTTGCAACGCAACGCAATTCAAATAGGCCTATGCTACAGGGAAATCACAGGAACAGCGTTCTGAAGCCCCCAATTCACCGTACTCCATCTAATGTTGACGTCATTATACATTCAAAATTACTGGGGTTTTGGACCTTTCCTATCGACCGGTATTCTAGAGACTAAAAAACACGACGTTTCGGAAACTTGATCTGTTTCCGTCTCCAGGTGAGGGAGGAAGAAACCTACTCAATTTGGTCCCATATTACATTACATATGTATTTTTCCACTTGCATTTTATTAAAACGGCACTACTTCGAACCTGGTTACAATATACGCACATTCAGATATACATAAATTTCATGCATAATTTTGTCTGTAGTTTTGTATGCTTGTGGAACTTGATCTCTGACATTAAGGGAGGAACATAGACTGAGGGTGTTTGAGAGCAGGGTGTTGAGTAGAATATTTGGACCGAAAAGAGATGAAGTGAAGGGAGGCTGGAGAAAACTGCGTAATGAGGAGCTTCATAACTTGTACTCTTCTTCAAGTGTAATTATAATGATCAAGTCAAGGAGGATGGAATGGGATGGGCATGTGGCATGCATGGGGAAGAAGAGGAATGCATATAGGAATTTCGTGGGAAAGTCAAAAGGAGGAAGACAGGTAGGAAGACTTAGATGCACGTAGGGACCAGTAGAGGGTTCTTATGAACACAGTAATAAACCTTTGGGTTCCATGAAATACTGGGAAATTCTTGAGCGACTAAGGGGCTGGCGGTTTATCAAGAAGGAATTTTATGTAAAATGTAGATATATCTACTTGTATGCCAAAATTATATTTACTGTATGCGTAAACATAGAATTTAGGTATTGCTTTGACTCAGATAATGTAAACTGAATCTCAAGATTGGAGCAAAACTTGAAAAAAAAAAGTTATATTTCGTTATTTCTATTCCATTTTATTAAAGAAAATAGCTCGTGGTCATTCTTGTGGACTGCTTATCTGGACTAACTATATATTTCCGATGTGAAGAATATTCAGTAAACGGACCAAACTTCCTGACATAGAATTTGCACACAAACAAGTTATTTTCAAGTGAGTGAAAATTCTTGTCTTGCCGAGTTTGATCCCTTATTTCCTACCTCAGTTCTTCGTTGCTCTTAGATGTGATATCTTCAGTTCTATTAAGATAGATTCTAAACTCCACCAAGTCATTTTAAGGTCTCCTTCAAGCTTAAAGTATTTTTCTACATTAAATACCGCAATTACTTAACTAAATGTCAATAGACATACCAGAATTTACAACTGCTTAATTTTATTACATTCCTAAGAAGTAGTTCCCTCATTTATGAAAAAGAATTCCCTTCTTTGAAGTTACATGGACAGCCAGAGAACAAGTTCATAGGCGTCTGAATTAGAAAAGTGTGGATGCCAGAATTTATTTCCAAAATGTTCCTATTCCAACACTGGTAAACATCTCTGTCATCATGTTAGATATTAACTAACTCCATGGAACTGAGCCCTTCTTGAGAAGCCAACAGTCGCTCAGCTACTCAAGAAATTCCCAGCATTTTATGGAATCCGGAGGTTCTTTAACATAACAGAGTCCGCTACTGGTTCCTATCCTGAGACAGATAAATCCAGTCCATACCGCCTCACCCTCTCTCTTTATAATATCCATTATAATATTATCATCTCCCCTCTTATTTTAAGTCTTTCAAGTGGTCTCTTCTTTCCTTCTGGGTTTCTCACCGAATCCCTGTATGCATCGTTCTTCTCTTCCATGCGTGCTACATTCAATGTCCATCTAACCAATCTTGACTTAATCATTCTGATTATATTTGGCTAGTGCATTTTATGAAGCTCACCATTACACAGTCACCCCCAGGTCCTATTATTTAATCCCTCTTCGGTCCAAATATTCTTCTCGGCACTTTGTTCTCAAACACCTTCAGTCTATATTCTTCCCGTAATGTTGGAGACAAGTTCCACATCCATACAAAACTACAGGAAAAATTAAAAGTTTGTATATTTTAATTTTTAAGCTTTTAGACAGCGAACGAAAAAACAGGAGGTTCTACGCTAAATGACAGTAGGCGTTACTGAATGTAATATGATATTAATATCCACATGACTCAATTTTTTTTATACTGTCTTTCAAAAATATTTTAATTTTGCCACATTTTCAAAGGATCTGTTAGCTGTCTTTGTGTTTGATTTTTCACTGTACTCTGGTGACGAGACATCAACATGTACTTTGTCTTTTCCATGCTCATTTCTAGACCACATACGGCTTAGAACTCTGGGGCTGCGCCAGCAAATCCAACATCGCCATTCATTATACAGCGTGCCCAGTCCAAAATACTCCGATCCATCACGAACGCACCATGGTATGTATCCAACCGCACCCTACATACAGATCTAAAAACTCCTTACGTAACAGAAGTCATCCGAGAAAACAACACCAAGTACTTCAGCAAACTAGAAAATCACTCCAACTAACTTCTTCAACCACTACTACAACCTCACCAAAATCGAAGACTCAAAAGAATTTGGCCATCAAATCTAACGAACTAAGGAAAACATCACTGGATGTTTATTCCGCACACGCCAGAAGAATGTACAATAAATAGTTATTAAATTGTACACCAATCAGCACATTGACCTATAGAGTGTACAGTCTGATTGTCAGTAAAGGAGAGAGAGAAAAAAGAATCTAGACCATCCTACTTACTAGCGTCAGTTAGAGCTTCTCAATTTTTCCTTATGGTATGTTTGTTATTCCCCAGTAAATTTATATCGTCTTGTCCCTGATTCATGTTTATCACTCCCATTTATATAGAAAAATATATATTCGTGTGCTGGTTCAGTGCAGCGCATGTCCCATCTGACTTGCACTACCTACGTAGTCTAACGCGTATTTTGCTAATTGTCTTGCATTATCGTCAGTGAACCTGCCCTACAGAGGTCCCTTACATTCCATGTGCCAAATTTCATATCCATTTTCTCTTGCTGAGGTCACTCCAAATAATCCATCCAAGTCCGAGACCCTGTATAACAGTTTGTAAAAAAAAATCCTTTTTTTGCAGTTAGCCCCACTCACAGTTCCCAAGCTGGATGACCACCGTTTAACGATTGTCCGCTACTGTTTATGCAGTATATTCATATCGACGGCCGTCTCCTCCATCCTCAACCTAAGAACGCGCCATGCTATTTCGACACGAGACCCACGTAATTAATAATAATAATTTTATTAATATAAGCATATTGTGCCACATATTGCAGCTCAGATTTTGCCAAGAAGAGGCTACGGTTTCTGTATACACCTTGTCAGATATAAGTGTACCCCCCCCCACTCTCGAAGCCAAAATGCTGCACACCTGTATGACTTTGAAGAAGCCCTCTTGAAAGGCGGGCCTGCTACAGTGAGCGTTATGACGTCAAACCGAGGAGCGAGTCAACTGCATGTGCACGGCGCCATCTTAATATGAGACTCGCCAACTAGGCGGTGTAGTTGACAGTTGAATTTGTCTGTTTTCAGCAGTACAGCGAAAGAGAGTAGCGTGTGGTTGTTTGTCAATGTAGATAAAGGACACCTGTGTGAAAACAAATAGCAGTATTGAATGTGATCATGTTACATTGTCAGTGAGTTCGGTACAAGACTTGTGAAGTTTTGTGTGGCCGATAAGAGTGGCCGGTGACGGCACCAACGACGGCTGGAAAATCGATCTCGAATCCTACACACTCCTACATACACACATACATTTACAAACTCCTCCCTCACCCTGAACATCCCTCTCCTTCTCGGAAACTACCATTCGCACAGCAAACAGCTGGTAGTCTCAAATCCACAAAATTCGTCGCAGTTCCGGTACAAATTTGTCACTTTCATTTTTGGTTTGCATCGAAAATCAGTTTGTCACAAAACGAGAAATTATCCTCTGTATAATTACCGCTTATGACACACTCACAATTCTTAACCTCTAACTGCAAATTACTCGGTAACATGCGTTGATGACTGAGTTCGAAGTCAGACAAGTGAGCGGAAACTGCGATGGCTTCCAGTGAACTGTAAATAATAGCATTGCTGCGTTAATCGTTCCAGACACATGAAAATCACTTCATCCCGTGAACCAGCAATGCACGGGGTGTGGAACCCAGCTTCGTTATGGATCAGTGTTTTCATCAGTTTATGGCTAATTGTTGGGTGTCAAGGAAATGGAAATATTGGTGAGTACTTCCGCTATTTACTTCTGCTGCAAAATAATAATTACCTGACCTTGTAAAGAATTTACTTAGTATCTAGTCGATGGTGTATTGAGTTCATGTACAAGCACTATGAGACAGCATGGTGAAATATACATTGGTCGCAAGTGCAGTACCCAGTCGAGGCCTGCACCAGAGTGTCCCAGTCACCAAAAAAAGTCTGAAATCCTCAGTTTGTTCAATCTTTAGATTTTAATGGTGACAAATGTGTTTTGAAAGAGGCGGTTCTGTCTGTGTGAATGCATTTCTTGTTGTGCCAAACGATTTCACTTGCTGGCCTTTTGCCAAGCACTGATATATATATATATGTATACCACCACCAGCACAATGAAATTTCATTCTCTAGGAATGCTTAGCCAAAAGAACTGATGTATAGAAACGTTGTTTACATTTTGAATTATGAGTAATTTTAAAATAAGTGACCATCAGTTCAGCACACCAGACGCATGTGATCTGTATCGTAAAAGAATCTTTGACTACTGTACACGTCTAGTGACTGTCAGTTTAGTTAATTATTGGAAGGGGTTGCCTACTTGTTCTACTTCATGTTTTCGAAGATATAAGTAAATAAACACGTTCATGTACCAGTAAAATTAATTCCAAAGTTTTTGAGCTTCAAATTATGTAAATATTTGTTACTTACCGAATTTCGAAAGGACCGCCATTGTGGTCTAGTGGTCAGAGTTCCTGGCTACAGATCCAGAGATTGCGGGTTCGATTCCCGGCGCTACCAGATTTTCTGAGAAGAAGTGGGCCCGGAACGAGGTCCACTCAGCCTCGTGATGATAATTGAGGAGCTATTTGAATGGAAAAAATAGCGGCTCCGGTCTAGAAAACCGAAATTAACGGCCTGTGGATCCGTTGCACTGACCACGCGACACTCTCTATCCGCTAAAGTTGGCACTAAACTTCGCTGACAAGCGGCAGTCGCTCGGTCGGTATAGTTCACTTGCGGACTAAAGCCACTAATTTTCTTTTTTCTTTTATTTTAATTGTATTTGTACCTTATTTAACGACACGGTCAGTAAAATTTCCGGTCACAGTAGCCGAGCGGTCTAAGGCATGTACTGTCTTCGCTCGCTTCGAAACCGGGATCGTGGGTTCGATTCCCACTCAGTGCATGGATGTTTAGTTTGTGTGTGTGCATTTTTCTGTGTTTATGTACAGGTAGAGGCCTTGCGACGAGCTGATCACCCGCCCAAGGAGTCCTACCGAATGTGTATGATCTAGAAAAACCGAAGTGAACGGAGAAGTTCATGGAGGTAGGCCTAGGCCCACTGGGGCTGTAGTGCCAAGGGGAAAAAAATCAGTAAAATTATGTAGCGTCAAATAATTGTGTATCAATGAATAATGAATTGGAAAGGACATGGAAGGAAGCGGCTGTGGCTCAAAGTAAGGTACTGTCCCCGGAATTTGCCTGGAGGAACTGAGTAAACCACGAAAATACCTTTTGTCAGTCGAGGTCTCTGCCGAGACTAGCATGGGTGTATCCCTAATGTAAGTCTGTACCCCACTTGCCCGGTCTCAAGCGGTTGCGTCATAAGAGTGTCAGATATTGCGAATTAAGGGGCACAGAAGCCAGATACTGTAAGCATCATGCTAGGTACATGGCGGCAGTCATACTTTGTAGGTCATAAAAGAATATTCTGAATCCTTTAAATTAAGGTAAAGACTTACAAGGAAGGTTGGCGCAATCCTATATAAGCCTATTAAAAATACCGACTGTCACAGTGGGTTCAACGCCGTCACCAAGCCCGACGTTGGGCACGAACATGAGCCAGTTCTACCCGTCTTATTATTTATTGCTAGTGGGGTGGGAGTATGTCCCTTCTACTGCGGCCACTTCTGGCCTATTGTACCAGTCCAAGATGATAGGTGAGGGTGATTGTGGAGCAGTTGGTGGAATGAAGATTGGCAGGGGAAACCGAACTACTCGGAGAAAACCTGACCCAGGGCCACTTTGTTCACCACAAATCCCACTTGACCAGACCCGGGATCGAACCCAAGCCCCCGCGGTAGGAAGCCAGCGACTAACCGGTTGAGCTATGGCACGGCCCTTCTACCCGGCTTGATCCTTGCAGTGTTTCTCACTAAAATCCATCATAATATTATGCTCCCGTCTTCTTCTTTGCCCACCACGTGGTCGTTTTCCAAGGGGTTTTCACTTAAAAATGCTATATGCAGCTTGATCTTCTCGGAAAGGGCTCTAGTTTCTCTTCGGATATGACGCTGGTTGGGCTCCAGGGCCGATTTGGATACTGTTGAGTAGTAAAAGAAGCCTTTTCACTGTCGGGAATCGAAACCCAATTCCACGGTCATCCAACCGGTAATTTAAACTGAGCTATTCCGTCTCACTTTTTTTAACACACTTCATACTTACACCAAAGCAAGTTACCGAGTATCATACCCGCACAAAACAACACTTAATCGGGTTGGGAAGTAGATGCAATGGTACCAGTTTTCGTCCAGAATAAGAAGTACAATCCATGATTTATTCTCCGAATATTTTCTTGAACCTTAATTTTATTTGTAATCGTCGTTTCCAGAATCTTAAATTCTGGCAGTGGAAAAAGGTTTATTATTTCTTCTCCTGACAACGCTGACAGACGTTTTAAGATGGTTATTGTAAGTAAATGTGCTGCTACTTACTGTGAATAATTCCACCATTACTACCACAGCATTTAAATTTCTCGCTTTGTTGCTACATTCAGAACGGCTATTCCTTATTCGAGTCAAAGTTAGCCGGAGCGCTGAACTGACTATCTTCTTTCGGTGTAGAGTTCAAAAACGGGCATTATTTTCCTCCCAAGCCCCTTATATTCTTCCATGTTATGGAGTTCAGTAAGTTGTATAAGAACGCTTGCTCTTTCAGCCCAGAAAGGATGGCAGAGCAGTATTTTGTGTTTAATCTGCAAGGCATAACGACTGACAACTCGACCCATATTGTCCTTCAGGTAAGCAGCGTCAGACTGCCAGAATTGAGGTCTTCAGTGATTTCTTCGATAGCCAAGGCAATGAGTAGCGGCCTCCGTAGTCTAGAGGTAACGTTCCCACCTCATGACTCGTGGTACGTGGGTTCAAATACTCGGCGGATGTCGTCGAATTTTTAAGGGCGGAAAAATTCAGGGAACAAGTCCTCCGGGAGGGACTTTAAGCTGTGTGTCCCGTGTCGTAACTTTACGGCACGTAAAAAACCTCATATCCCCAAAGGGGATCACTGAGCCAAATTCCAGGACGTTTCCCGCCCAACAATAGTCTCTAAGGCCTCTGATAGATGGGGGAAGCATTATAGACAGCGCTAAGCAAGTGGCCGAACTCGCTTGCTCGGCGGGACTGATGGTACGCACCATTTATCGGTAGGGTAAAGAGACTGGTAGAATATCATAGAGGGAAGCACAATAGATCAAACTGGTCGCGGTGCATCGTGGGGAAACCCACCCTCTCTCTCTAAAAAAAAGAAGCAGTGAAATTGTTGATATATTTACGAATTTAAAAATTATGATCAGTTCTCCAGTTCAGCATTAGGCTAATTTTCTAAATTTTCCGAAACTGACACCATGACCAGAGCAACAGAGCAGAGGATCCTCGGTAATTGTGAGTATAAAAAGCTGTCCCTGTAACAGGTCATGGAGGCCCATAGGGTTGTGAGACGTTGAGGGTCCCACATTTTCTAGACAGTCGGCACAAAGATGGCGGTAAGGTTGTCAGCCTTACGTGCCGGCCGCGCTTTACTCCCCAGAAAGATTCCTGGTACTTATTTCTGTTAGAGGCTGAGTGGACCCTAGGGCTATAATGCGGCTGGAAAGATTAGGTCAATTGAGGAAATCCACTTCATCGGACTCGAACCCGCAACCTTCCGGCTTGTAACATAGTGCCTCAACTAACTACGCTACCGCGTGCCCCTGAGTATACAAGTTCAGATATAAATAAACGGATATTCTTTTGATCACGATGACGAGAAGGCAACACATGAAAACTGTTATTCTTCGGTATATAAGTTTCTTTCACCGTCCAAATGCAACGTTTCTGTTCTTGCCTTATATCCTACTCACACGCATCTACGGCATCTACAGGTGTAGTTACTCTTACTAAAATTGTTGCACTGCCACTGCAATTCAGTCGCGTGTGGAACCCGTTGGCCAGAATAGTTCAACAAGGAGCGACACCAACCAGCACACCACAGACAAAATAAGATGAAGAAAGGAACATATCCCACATAGTTGGCAGTGCGCTGCTTGTAAAATGCAGGTTCCAGCTTTGTATGGATTGTAGAGGATTCTTATTGAAAGTAACAACACTCTCCACACGCAACTCGAAGCGACAGTGCCTGAGGATGGTCGCGTGAGGCCGAAACATGCTGTAGAAGAGTGTACGTAGGACAGAAGACAATGATGGGGACGCTGCATTTGGACGGTGAAAGCAATTGTCCACCGAAGATTAATAGGAATGTAACAGGATGCAGAAGTACAATATTGTCTGTATACTGACTGCATATATCAGCAAGCCTCCTCCTCCTCCACAGCAAATCGGTCTAGAGAAGTAAGTTACAAATTAAGTTGTATTTGAGATGTCGAGTTGCACTATAATAATGCTCTCACGATTTATGGGTGACTCTCAACGGGGTATGGGTTGAGGAATGGATTTATTGACGGCTTATACACACCATTCTGAAATACAAGTAATTACAGTGCTATCAATAATCTCCACACTTTACAAATCACCACAGCACACTTTAAGCCTTTTACCAGCCTGCTGTTTCTTCATCAGCCTTTCCTTAGCAACGGTTTCTAACAGTGGAGATTCTTTAGCTTCACGCTCTCAGGTCATTTCTTCACAGCCTCCTGTGCAGAGCTCAACTCTCAACTGACTACTTTCAGGCTGGTGGCCATTTAAAAAAATATCATAGTCTTCTCTTCACAAGCTGACTTTTAGCTGACAAGTTGCAACTGTGTCGCCCACATTGT